TGCTTGGCGGTACAAGATACCTTCGACCAAAGCCTGTTCAATTTTGGCAGACTGGTCTTTTTCTGTTCTAAAGTGCTCCATCAATTGTCAAAAACATAGTGGTTCAAATCTTAGATATATCCTCCTTTCTTTCTTAAAATTGGATCGATAAAAAGATTTTTAGATAATCTAGTTTTATTTGTATTGTACATTTATCCTAATAACTGTTATTCTGAAAGAATGAATGGTTTGATGGGAAGAGAGCTCAAGAGGCACAACCCTTTCTTTAAAAAGCTATTCATGGTGAAACGATTATCAAAAATTTCAACATTTATTCTGCATAGGTATAATGACAAGTCTCTTGTAGCATTTCTGTTGACATAGTTCTAGATTTCTTTCTAATGCTTACAAGGTTAAGTTGCTTGATATTTCTGAGATTGCAGCCCTGAAAGTACCTGAAAGATTTCTCAGCCAATTTTGTAGGTACGGAGATCGTTTTCCACTTTCTCTAGAGAAAAATAATTGATTCTAGACAGAAATTATTGATGATTTAACAACTTGAGCAATGGAAGACCTCTTAAACAAAATGAAGTGTCAAACCACATGAGAATGGTTGAACAGTCAATGACCTTGATGAAGATCATTGATAACAAAGGAAATTTGAGAGACACGCCAAAACCCTGCCTTCCCTAATTTTTGGAACAGTCATCAAAAAGCGTAAGGGTATTGTCCGGAGAAAAGATATTGATTTTTCTGGACAGTGTAAGAATCATGCCTGAAGTGAATGCTATTATGGATAAATTGGAAAGAATCGCAAAATTCCCAAGGTTGTGCCTCAGGACATGCTATGAAAAATTTAAACCAACAGCATGCTCCTTTTCCCTTTCTGTAATCCATCAACCCGTACAACTGTTGTTGTATTAATTCAATTTCGCTTTCGGAACTTGCTGTGCATAAAAGTGAGGCTATGGAAGGAAACACCTTTTTGACCGTGCGGAAATCGCCTCGTTTATAACTTTCATTAGGCTTGGTCTCCTTTTTCTTTTCGGATGGACATGAAATTCTCCAATTGATTTGCTTTATAACTGACAACTTTAACTGCAATTGTGTTAGGTACTTATACATCAAGAAAGAATTGTTTCGTTTTTTGTTTGTGAATACTGAGAAGAGCAGTGTATTGTAGACAGATTTGCCTTTCGGAAGATGTTATCTTTTATACCTTTCGCTGCCTTCTAAAACAAGATAGCAAAATTCCTTGTTTTGTGATGAATGTTTTGTTTCTATCTTTTTACCAACTCTGAGGCATCATCAAGTGACGGAGGGTTCAAAATAAACCATCGTGGCTCTCCATTTTCTCCTGTCCTGTGCCATTCGAAATCTCTACAATACTTCTTCCATCTGCAATTTCTTTGATATGGTCGCTGTATCTAACTTTTGGCCTTTCTCTTCCTCTCTTTCCATAAACCATTCCAATAAACAAATCTATTGTTATGTCATTCGCCCTTAGTATGTGACCTATAAAAGACATTTTTCTTCGGTTTAGTGTTGTTAGTAGCCGCTCGTTTACAGTCATCTTCTCCAGAACCCATTCATTAGTTTTCTTTTCAGTCCAACTGATGCGCATTAGATGTCGGTAACACCATAGCTCAAAAACTTCTATTATCTTTTTGTCTGACTGTTTCAGCACCCAGCATTCAGAACCATAATTTGCTATACTAAAAACCAATGAGTGTAGCAGCCATTTCTTTGTAGCAATTGTTATTCTCTTATCTTTCCATAAGTTCGTTAGTGAGACCATGGCATTTCTTGCTATCATAATCTTCTGTGAACGTCTTTCTTGTCGTCATAATTATCAGTAATCAGTGTTCCGAGATAGCCAAATTCCTTTTACATTTTCGATTCTCTCATTTTCATTGACTATTATATGCTCTGCTTCATTTTCATTCTGGCTGAGGCTCGCGTTCATATAATAAAAGTTTATTACAGCATGTAATCAACATTACTTACGGCAATACGTTTTAATTCTAAGGCTATACGTTTTTCAGCCACCTACCACTTTGAGAGAATCACTCTTTCTTGTCTATGAATTTTCCTTCGAAGTTGACATTATTTGTCCTATATCAACAGGTTCTCTTTTCATTTCATGTCTGTCTGCCATTCGTAATCTGATTCGTCTAGCAAGTGCTATTCTCATGGAATCAAAAGTCAATCGATTTCACAGTCAGCATATTCTCACATTTAATATACTGGACGACTATCCTTTTTAGCTTTATTTCTCTAGTCCATGAACTTTGTACCTCCCGCAGAAGTCGCTACTCAAGCACGAATGTAATCCAACTTTACAAGTCTCAGTTTACCCGTCTAAATACGAGTTCCTCCTTGACTAGTTATGCATTAACTAAAACAATTTGCTTCACTTTCTCTCTTGTAACCGAACTCATCACTTAATCTTACGCTTCGATTTTGTACCCCGTTAATGTGCTTTTCCATCTTTATCTGCTTTTTATTCGCAGGTCTTATTTGCAAACTCTTAACTGAATTGTGCCACGATCCCCGTTATCCAATAAACGATTTCAAAGTCGACCTCTGCCCAGAGAGCTAAATCCGTTAAATTTTGCAAGTGGAGTCAAATCTAAGCCTTTGGTTTTAATTATACAGATAACGTTGCTATACACGAACTAAGTATCGCCTTGTTTCTTGTTTCTAGCTTTCATGATGACCCCCCCCCCCCACAATTGTTGCTCTCTGCCTTGTGTTTCTTTAATAGAATCTTCAATTTGCTACTGCTAACAGTTAGCGCCAGGATTTTCTGGCAATAGGGCTGGCTGATCTGAACAGTAGTTAAACCCTGATATAAGGAAACTTATCGCTCTAACAAAAAAAAGATTTGCAACGGCAATTTGGAGGATAAATTATCTAAAAATGTAGCGATAGGCCCCTTGCCTTCCCTTGGGCTCAACCCTGTTTTCTGGAATATCATTACTTCAAGAATTAGTTTATGTTGCCTGTTGTATGTATATCCTATAGTTGATGCTGTGTTTACGCAACAGAAACAGCTTATGTTTCGTTATGAAATCAGGTCATTCTATGAATAGTACTAGATATGCCCTTCCTACGTATAAAGAATGTTTGTGTCCTGCAATATTTGTCATTATAACTATATATTCACTAACAAAGATTCTTCGGCTAAAATGCAAAACAGTGTGCTAATCGATCCAAGTAGAACTTAAAGCAATAACTTGGCATTAAAACTCCACTTTATCATACTTTTCGTGTCTTATTACATTTATGACTTTGTTGTGACTTACCGTTATCTGTTATCATTTCTTACCAAAGAATATGATCAATGAGTTAGTAAATTTATTGATTTCCTTGATAATCATATGAACGTTCAGTAATTTGGGGACAATTGCCTCTCCAGCACAAGTGACGAAGGCTTCTAACACATCCCCCTACCCACCCCAATATTTTTTCTCTTCGAAAAACGTTTCTCGAAGAACGTGTTTTAAAAACTTTCTGCACTCTGTATTTGCGATTTTTCAAAATAAACAGGACTGTTGCCTTTTATCGAGACGATAAGGAGAACCATTGTTACACTTAAGAGTACTGCTTTGTTTGACCTTCAACGTGGCCATAGCTAATAGGATGAAAATAAGAATGAAAAACAAATCAGGAAATTAAAAAGCAATCAAGACTTGTCATAGTCTAAATACACCAAAAGGTAAGTCAAAGTACAATAAAGCATAAATTCAGGTATCATTGGACTTGGGATCATCTGAATCTGTCTTACATTCTCAATACTGTAATCTCTTTGTCATACGCCCCGTCCTGTTGTCATAACTTTTAGCGTGTATATAATAGATTTTTTACATTCTTGTGTTTATTAAAATTTGTTAATAGTAACAGACTCTGTAAACGAGACGTAACTTAGAATTAAGCAAATTATATGTTCTACAAATAGCCATTTCGACTATTTTAATAAGAGTAACTATCATTAATGACATTTGGACTATCGTTATTATAAAGTTGAATTGCAGCATGAGTATACAGGGAGGATAGTAAAGGTCACAACTTCTATTCCAAAGTTCGAGAATATGAAGAAAAGGTCCTCTTACCCACCAGCCTCGGTTGTGGCAAAATTAAAGATGGCCCTGCTTCTTTTTGATTTGGCAAAAAAAATATTTTCTTTAACAAATGATATTTTTTTAGAAGGGACATGACCTTCAACCCCTGTGGCGATGGCCCTGATTGTCATCATAATCATCATAATTATTAAGAACAAAGTAATCATCACCTTTTCAATGTTTGACATCGACTCTAGTTGCATCTTTCACCTTTACTGGCTTGATCTTAGATTGAAATCAGTTACACTCATTTTATTAAAACATTTTACTTGTTCTAATAAAAAGACTTTTCTCGTCTGTTTGTTGACATTCTGTACTTGTCAGCAAAAATTCCTCTCTGAAAGTTAGTCTTTCAGTCCAACTAATATACGGTCATAGTGTAGTGGAATTAGATATTAAAAACGGTCAAAAACCCGGATAAAAATATTATAAAGCTGTAATTTGGAGCACAAATGTTCTATACTAAGCTGGAAATGACCAGAAAAAAGCCCCATCAATTGAACATTGGGAATTCCTTATTTGGGCAAATACCATAATGGCGCACTGATCAGTAGTGGTTCAAAATTTTAATGTTGCTAAATAATTTCATGCTGAATAACTTTTATTTTACATACGTACCCTTAGAATCTGCAAATTTAGTGGTGATGGGGCAGAAACAAAGTGGGACGAGTTAATATTGAAAAGCGCGCGGAAAAAATGGCTGATCCTCTTGCTGAATATTTTCATTTTCTATCGCAAATTCTATCGATGCAAAATATGGTTAATAAGATAAAGTATGGTAATACCCACTCGGCCCGGGCTGACTCTAGTGAAATTTTTTCACTGCAGCAGAAAATTCCGGTCAAATCTAAAGAAATATCTAAATGTTCAAAACAAAGTAACTCGCGACCGAACGCTCCAGAAAACATGATTTTTTCATCATAAACTAATTCAAAGATGAAGATTTCAATTCTGACAGTTTTTCAACTTTTTTCGTTGACATCCTCCATCTCAGTAATTTTTGTTACTAAGACGTAAAGAACACGCTTGATGCTGGGCTGCACAAAACTACAGCTTGATGCTGGGCCAGTAATATTCCCTTTATGCGCCCTTCTTTACCAGAAAAAGAGATAACTTCCAAATTACGTATAATCCCAAATATTGCAAACTTTTCAATTGAGAAGTGCGCACATGGAAAGAGGGTGTTTTGAGAGTACCTAGGACCCAAAACCCGAAAAATAGTTATGAAAAACGGAAAACCCGCATTTAGAAATTGGAAAATCCTGAGACAAATATATATACTTCAACGTGGTTCACCTTTTCCCGTGTTTTGCATTAAAATACCTTCGTACCCGCAGTTATTACCAGCAAGAATATTTGTCTGCAAGGCACAGGGTAGATCCTTGCCTTTTTTTCTCCAAATGAAGATGTCATCAGTGTTTGTGGAAGAACAGAATTTCAAGGAAAATTGGCGTAGATTGAGGAAATCTGGCAATTTCTTAACGGAGCGAGGGAATTTTACACCCTTGCCGGACGCAGATACACGGATTGCAGAAGTTTCAAAATGTTTAGCGGGATTCTTAATCGGCTCCTTGTTAGATAGGATTTCATCATCGCATGTTTTGATCTTGTTAATATATAAGTTGTTCATAAATAAACTTGTATACATTCAGAGGTGGCGCCAGAAATCTTCCGACAGAGGGGTTGGAGCTTCCAACAGGGGGGCTAAGTTGACTAAAATATGCAGTTTCCGTACGTTATTTTGTCACATTTGCTCCGACAATAACCTAAAATTTTCTTCCGATAGGGGGGCTGGATGCGTCCAATGGAGGGACTGTAGCACCCTAGCCCTCCCCTGGCGCCACCACTGTATACATTCTATTGCCCAGTTGCCCCCTATCTGCTATTTTTTACCAGAAAGTACTTATTTCCACATTTTGAGGACGTGTTTGTTGAATAAAAGTTGTTCAGCATGAAACTGTCTTTCAGAATATGTACATATAATGTGGTTTGAGCGACATCAAAATTTGAACCCCTGCTGATCAGTGCGCCATATGGGATTTGCCCAAATAAGGAATTCCAATTGATGGGGCTTTTTTCTGGTCATTCGCAGTATCGTATGGAACCTATGTGCCAAATTACAGCTTTTTATTATTTCTGTCCGGGTAAAATCATAATTCCATCACACTATCAGGTGAAGAACCAGAAAACCAGATAAAACCTTAGTTTTATCTATGACCATGACAACAAACCAAAACTCAGATTTTGGGATAGTTGGGAGTCATGGTAGAACCTTCTGATAGAAGATGGTACCTGATGATGATGATATCAGGTGAAATCGCACTCTTCAAAAGAAAAATTCGGTCTGAACTAATCGACTTTTCGTGAATTTCTTCATCAATAGGATTTGCGCAAGGCTCATGCTTTACCATATCTTCCTAGTCCTGTCGGCTGGTCACGACCTCTTTTCGGTTTTACATAGTTTGAATTTCTCATGACTGTGCGATTTGACGCAACTTTTGCAGTTTTCTGCTATTTTAGTTTTCGTGTGATCGGTTGCAGAACAGTCGAAATGGAGATATGAGGGTAGCAGGTCCACGTTGGCCTTAAGAAGATTCTTTTATGCAAGTGTTTCCGGCATAAAACAACAGTGCATTGCATCGAAGACCGCATGGGAAGTGAGTTGTATCGGGTCATGTGCAAGAGAACAGCTTCTACATAAATAGTCACGCTTTTATAAGAGCTACAGAGCTGCTGTGACATTGAACAAGAAACTCAATAGTCTTTGTCTTAAAACCTAATAAATAAAGGAAGCGTGCAAGTGCTCAATAAAGCATTTAATTGGCAATATTATCTTGCTGCTGGCATCAAAAGTAAAACGGAGCAACTTATTGCGAACTTCAGGAGCAAAGGGAATCTGCTACTGGTTTTTCTCTAGTTTTTCGGAAGGGATTATTTTGTTTTGCAGATATATAGTTTGAAAGTCACGATGGAAATTACATATGGATTTTTGATAATCGTTTATCTTGTGATCAGCGGCAATGGGCTGTTAACTTTATCAGGTTTGTGTTTACAAAAATTACATTGTTTTTGTACTTATACTGGTCAGAGTTTTCAGTCTCAGTTTATATCTATGTAAAGGAATATCGCGAGTTTTGCAGTATGGCCACATCATGCATGCGTCAGGTTAATGGACAAAAACTATTCATATTGAAAGCTGAGATATGCATGTCTGGGCAGGATTTCCATGTAAAACGACTTAATATCGTCACCAAGGCCTGAAACATTTTGCACATTGTTCAATTTCAGGGAGGAGTTTTGCGGGATTCTCACGGTGGCCTTTATGGTAGTCTATTAGGATGGTGTGTTTCTTTGCATGCAAAACCGCTTCTAGTTTTAATAAGATAAAACCCTCGCTTGACAATCACCTTTTATAAGAAAGAAATTCGTCTATAATGCAGGCTTTTTCTTATTAAAAACCATTGCTCCATGTCGTGTACGAGTTTTTTGACACGTCTGATGTGAAAACCTCCTAGCATTGATTAATGGTCACCAGGGACGGATTTAGCGGGGGGGGTGTAGGGGGTGCGACACCCCCCAATAGATGCACGATGCCAGTTCTATTTCCTTCAGCAACATTTTCAAAGCTTTCTCATCCTTTTACTTGATACATTTAAAAGCAAAATAAATTTTCTCAAAAGAGAAAGTTGAATTTTAATTGCCATAAGACCCAAATCCAAAGATAGTCTTAGAAACGTGAGTTTTCTGAACCACTGAGTTTGAAAAGGGCCCTTCAGAAATATGAAAACAGCTATTCGCGGACGAATTCCCTTGATTGCCATTGTTCTATTTACTGATAAGATAGCATGTACATAGACGCAAACATCTACCAGACAACGGTGTTTGTTTGATGGAGTGTTCCTGATTTTCAATGGCGAATAGGCGTGCACAGTCTCTTGAAGAGCTAATTTATTTTGCTATAAACTCAAATCATCCGATTCCGCGTTGTCCCCAGTTTCTCCTTCTTTGGTTTTGATGTGTGTTGAACTTTTCATAACCTTATTTCCTTGAGGGAGACGAGAATTTTCAGTTGTAGAGCTCGGGCCAGGTATTTATTTGTCAAATATAAACATAACTTTCTGCTAACTTATTGGTCACAGTTCAAGGGTAGAATTTTCTGGCAAAGTGATTACGTACCAAATGGCAAGGATAAATTGTCAATGAAGTAACAGAATACACTGGTTAAATTAATGATTTTGGTAAGGTGTCAAAAGAACTAATACATTCAAAACAAGTACAAATATATTCGGCATCTTATTTTTCAGCACTAACAGTTTCTATTCCTTTGTTGTTCCAATTTTAATTTTATTATGATGATTTGTTAAATAGACTTGGCCGTGAGTAACAACTATGGTAAATGTTTATCTTTAGAAAACTTTGCGGTTTCTTCCTTTACACGTTGTAAAGTTTATAATCGCCATTTCATTAGGCCACTTAACAATTTGCATAGGAACGAGAGAGCTGATTTATTGGTAAGGAGGTTCACCTATTAAAGAGGGACTATCAACCTAGGGTGGTCTATTAAGAAGGGATGTGTTGATGTCCATGCATTTTTGCGAACTTTGCTTCAACAGACACCCAGTTTCAACCCTAGCACCCTCGCTACCAAGCCTATCGACTCGAGGAGGATTTTACGACAATGAAATTCTGAAATTGATAAAGCTTTCCGATCAGAATCAGACCAGTATTCTGGAATTTTCGCTCGCCACAGATATTCACCAGAATTCGCAAAAATACTATTTGGGAAACTTTCTAGAGGTCAATTCTCGCCGCATATCTGGCTCAAAACGGATCTCGAATGCAGACTGGGAATCAGAGTATCAAATCTTAACTTAGATTGAAACAAATTCTACCTCGTTGTTGCGTACACACAGTTCATATAATTTGCATCGAAAAAAATTGCTGCTTGTTGAATCCCTCTTAAGCGAGTTTCGGTTTATGTATGTTATTCGATTTGCAGCTGTTACAAATCAAAATATTTTAAAGGCTGAAAAGAGAAACAATGTATCAATAATATTGCTGCTAATTTTTTCAGTTAACGACATATTTGCTGTTTGTTAAAGAGTTGTGGTGACTATATTATGAAAGCTCGTTCGGTCGCCTTTAGGAGACAGGCCAGCTCGTAAATATTCCTTACATTCTATCAATATATTGCAATTCTGGACAATGTGCTCTATATTCCCAGCGCAAAACCACAATTAACTTCATGGATTCTTCCTGTGGTTAAGTTTCTGCCTGGATGCTGAGCAGAAGCCTATCACGCGGAGCATGTTACTGATTGTGAGGGCTGGAAGTTTTTTTTGGGGGGGGGGGGCTAAAATATGCTAAAATACAATAGCAGGGCGATTTTTGTATGGTTTTTAAGTAAATTTTGGAAAAGGCCCCCGCTTCTGTTCTCTCTGTGATAACCAGTCCAGTGTTCTAAAGGATGTACCTTCCTTCTGAATAATGGGCTAGTTATGGGGTTAGCTGAGCAGTCGATCGGTTGATCTTTTAACCCTTGGCGTCGATCTTTCAGTGGACCTGCTGGGAGTTGATAGACACAGAAATCATTCTGAGAAGAAAGCGTTTGCTGGATAAAGTTGTCTGCGTGTTAGTTATGATTCTTTAATCGTCTTAGCAAGCTTTTCTCCTTGTTTAAAAGATTAGAAGCCTAAGTCTATTTTCCTATTATAACCATTTAATGTAAAACCAACTTATTCTCTCTCGATCTCGGACCCTCAAAGTAGACTCAGAAAAGGGCTCACTAGACGTATGAAACATCAAAAATAGACTATGATGTCGATATTGTAAATGCAGCAAGCATTTTAAAGGGGCCATGCCACGAATTTGAAAGTGAGAGGGGAGGCTACCGAAAAGTTTTTCCTTGTTTTAGAAAAAATTGTTTGGGATTGACTTAAAAAGGTAATTTTTTGAGAAAATATTTGAAAACCACAATTAAGATAGAATATCAATTTTTCCTCAGTAGAATTTCAAGTTCATTTAATGAAAACAGGCTTCTAGTTTCCAGTTTTTCTCTTGTCCTTTCACAGGTGGTTTTTGACTAACAAAAGGCTTGCTACATAATCTACGTTGATTCTATATATCGACTGGCTTTCATAAAAAGCCACAAAATAGATCTTTAGGCCAGCAAAGTCAAATAGATCTATAGGCAAGCTTAAATAATTATAAGCAATGGCGATAAAAACATTGACTGTTTTCGCTGGTTGATTAACGTTGAAAGGACCAAATTTTTCGAAAAACTAAGACTGAAGATCTTTGATAAAGTTTTTTGAATGCTTTTTTGTTGGAAGAAACTCCCAGGAAGTTATAAATTGGGGAAAGCGGAAACCGTAAGTATATCGCATGACTCTTCTCTCCATTGAATGCTGAGTTCAGCGTCTAGTCTAAATAGCAGACGAGCTGATCTGAGAGTTTCGATAAACATTTAGCTGCTCAGTTATCAGTAGTAAAGGTTGACTGTAAATTAATGCTTGAGGCGTAGCAAGTAAAGGATTAGACAGAATCATTGAATAAGACAGAGACAGTTTCAGAATGAAGAATGAAGCCAACGTAGATTTAAAGAGGATGCCACATCTATATCATCGGAGCACTGCCCCTCCTCCTCTAATTAATTAGGTGAAAATCACATGTTTATATTCGACAAATAATTGCAGCAATATCTATTCACCCGAGATGTAGAAAATGTTTTTAAAAGTAGGGCTGGGGCATGTGTAGGCATAAAGGGCACTTATTTGAGTTGCAAATAAGTGGAGAGCACGTGCCCTTGCTACGCCACCCCCCACTGCACGTGTTTATGTCCACCCCAGTTTATTCGTCTAACAATGCATTCAAAGTTTGCTTGTAATTTGTTCCTTAGCAGAAGTGTTCCATCTTTCGTTTATTTTAATGTTTGGTATTACATTGTAGCTATTATAATTTTCCTGCAATGTCTTTCCTACTTTTTTCCTGTTTTCGTCAATTATTCGAAAAATTCGTCCAATTTTAATCCATTTGATTTTTTTCTCAAACTCTGATGAAAATTCTTTCATTTTCTTTCTTTTAAATGACATCTTTTAGATCCTTCCTTCTTGTACCTTTCGGCATGTAGGTATTTGCTTATTGTTCGCTAAGCTTCATTCACTGCTAAGCTAGCAATCTATTTATGCTGTTTTTTCTTCTCTATTCATCCCGACTTTCCGCGTTTTGCTGGTTCTCTCGCTTCATTCTGTCAAGCCCCCCCCTCCCCCCATTTTTCTTTGTTTATCCTTTTCCACCTCCTTCCATTCTTCGCTCGCCATTCTTCACTTTCATTGACTACGTATCATTATTATTTATCATTATTATCACTTTTTTCGCTTAATCTCAATTCTTGTTCAAAACGTTTGCTGTGAACGTTGTACATATCATCTTTGTGTAACGAAATCTAAATTTTACTTAACTCGCCTGCTTTAATCGTGGCTACAATTAAATTGCTAAGCAAAGAAATTTAAATTGCTTTTAATTTTAGTGAGATTGTCCTGTTTTTAGCGATGATAACTGCCCATTTGTAATTCAAATCTTAGCCGTTTTATATCGAGAGGGAGGCATTTCCGGAATGTTTACTTCTTCTGTTAGTATTCATTTAGTCGTTTTTCGTTGCGAATAGAAACTTTCAGGATGCTTTTAAACTTACCTGATACCGATTTTAAATCGAGCCAGTGGTTTTGTACACCCAACAGAGAATCTATAATAAAATTGCAAGCATATAGGGTGTAGCCATGGGTGTGACTTCTAGAAGTTCCCTACAACAAAGCCCCCTTCCTAACTTTTTTGGCCGGCACCCTGAAACGAACCAAATAAACAGCTAGCTAACTATATAAGACTAAATTACTTCCTAGCTAGCCAGCTAGCCAGCTAGCTTCTTTAATAAGCTAATAAACCAGCTGGAAATTATTACCCTGGGTACCAGAGTCTCCATTATTTAGATTCATAAATATAGCTAGAAACTAGTCACAGAAAAAGTTTTAGAGCAAGGATTGGA